TTAAAAACTCAAGTAGAAGGTGAAGTAAAAGTTTAACGAGTAAAACTAACTTGTCTTTCCAGTAGTACTGTCCCCARTATCCAACCACATCTTCTATTCCAGCCAGCAGGTGATCTATGAGCTGAGAGCAAACTTGTCATCAACACACAAATGTTCATTTCCTGTATAAATCCTGATGTTGTGTTATTATTTGTGATTCTAAATGTAATGTGTTTCTTTATTAGATACCTACTTGCTAAAATATTACAATGGATTACATTTTATATATTTATTTGTACACTGTGCCATGATGGAGGGGTTTTGTTGAAGGTAAACCCCAATAATTCATGTTGCTCTTTTAGGTCTATAAAAAAATAAACTTTGGTACATGTGGTGTTATTTTACTTTTCTAGAAAAAAMATATAACAGCCATTCAGGCATCATGTTTATTTCTTTTGTTTTTTTATTCTTTTGATTTCTTTGTTTACTGAGAATCAAACTCCGAGTAATTTCTCACCCTGCTGTGGATTTCTTCACTGATGGTTGGCAAGGCTCTCTTCTTCCTCTTCACATCCAGAAGCTCAACCAACGGTTTTATGGTCATCCCCTTAAGCCCAACGTTAAAAAGTTATCATTCAATAAATAAAAACGTGTTTTATTGTCATTTATTTTTACTTTCCCGACCTGTACAAAGACCGTAAAGAGAATGACCACGATGGTGGTCGTGATGAAGAGTCTTTTCTTTGGGAAGTCATCAATCAAAAAGACCAGGGAAAAGCAGATTGCTCCTCTCAGGCCACCGTAGGCGATGATGAACTGGTCTCGGAAAGTCACAGTGTTCCTCCGAAACTTGTTCACCACAGCAGTGAGCAGGAGGACACCTGAAAGGGAGTGAAAATAGGAAGCTCGGTTAGATACACACCCCTCTTCACCTTCTTCATCCTCAGCTGCTTGTCAGCAGTTTGAGTTGGTGACTTTTGKTGTTTTAAAGGATGTTGTGCATCATATGCAGCCTTCTAATTCTCCTTAAAACTGTGTTCCTTCTTGTCTGTTTAAGGAAGTAATATTGACAGAGTTTTAGAGAGTTTTGTGCTGAAGTWTCACATTATACAATATCACATTCACTACAAATGTTAATCAGTTGTAAATATACATCTAATTATTATTTTCTGAAAATGTCATTGAAAGTAATCGGCTGGGTTCTTGAGATATTTACTAACAGACGCATGCAGACAGAGAGGCAAAAACATTGTTGCCTACCTTTCACCTTTAAAAGTTGTGATAAATACCTGTCGCCCTCCAGACGAGGCAGAGCAGCAGTGTGGAACAGACAAAAGGCCAGCTCCACATATGGATGTCCTGTATGGTGGACACCCCCAGGAAGATGAAGATTAGGGTCTCACTGACACTGCTCCACATTTTCAGGAAGTACTGGATGCTGGTGTTGCTGCGCTCGGACACGTTGGCTTCAACATACTGTTTCATGGTCACAGCACAAGTCACAATCCTGTGGAGTGGAGGGAAACAAAGAGTTGMCCTTAAAATCTGTCTTCCTTGAACCCGTAGAGGAGCTGGGCTGTTGCTCAGCAGCACTCACGCTGTGATCCCAGAGAGGTGAAGCATCTCTGACGTCAGGTAGGACAAGTAGGAATAGAGGAAGACAAAGAGGGGAGCGATGACCTGGGCTCTTGAAGTGAACCGTGAGGTGAGGGCCGCCAGCAGGCCGAAGAATAGACCTACAAACAAGCCTCCCAGGCCCACCACCATGACCCTGCAACCCCCCAGCAACACATCCAGTCCTGTCACTGACGGCAGCCGCAGGAAGGACTCAAACAGTTTGTAAAGTACCTGGCGAGAAAAGAAGCACATCCTGAAACATTGTCACGCTAAAGWCATCCTGACTGGACACTCGTACCATTCCTGCCCTGACCACTGTAACGGCGTCGTTAAGCAGAGACTCTCCAAACACCAAGATGTGCAGCTGCTCGTTGACCTGCATCTCCTGGAAAACAGAGAGCACAGCCACTGGGTCCACAGCAGCGATCATAGACCCAAACAGCAGGCAGTGGAGCAGGGATATATCTCCTAGAGAGCTTGGAGCGAGCAGGCAAACACCGTACAGAGACAGGCCGATGCCCAGAACGTTCCACAAGGTTCCCAGCAATGCGTACCTGGAAATGTGCAACATAGACTTTTCACATGAGAGGCACATGAGTTACAGCATATACACACACCACAGACAAAAAAAAACATATAGTTACTTTAAAAGGAAACATTTAGGATTCACCAACCAGAGAATGGTGCCAAGGTTTTCAAAGAACAGCCTCCCTGGCAGGAAGTATCCAGCATCTAAMACTATAGGTGGCAGTAGGAATAAAAAGAAGGCTTCAGCGCTCAGAGTTGGTGGAGCAGAGTGGCGGACACTGTAGATCACACCCCCAACCAGGAGGCCCACCATAATGAGAACACAACTTTCTGGGACAACCACTGGGACACGACCGGACCAATGGAAACCTGCAGCGGTGAGGGCCATTCAGGGGACAACACCTAAGCATTAGATGAAGCATATTTTTGTTTAAAAGCTTTTTACCAGTTACGCATGGAGTAATGCATCCCAAAAACTTTAGYATTTTACCTGTTCGCTGGTAAATATTAAATAATCTTGTTTTTTGTTCCTCTGCCATGACACACTAATAAAATGCTGGAGGTCAAACTGATAACCCTCTGGTTGAAGGATAAGTGTTGGATTGTTTGCTAGCAAATAGTTTCTCACCATTTTGTTCCCAAAACAAGGATTCTTCTTAAATACCTTTTAAATTCTGATTGTATGCATTTTCACATATTTTTTTTTATCTTTGTAGAGTTCTAGCTTGCAGTAGATGCATCTACAAACTGTAGTTGAGAAAACTGATTTTMATTTAATAAACTTCCACAGTAGTTTATTTAACCCACAATAAAGGGTACAATATGAGTCAGGTTTCAATACATTAGCCTAATAGTTGCATTGAACTACTCTACTGCAACCAAAATGTGGTCTCCTGTACCACTGAAGATGCGACTTACCCAGCTTGGCCAGAGATGCCAGCATGATCCACAACACAATCTCAAAGGGAGCCTGGACAAGGTGGTAGTCCACGCTGAACACTGTCAGAACCATGGGCGTGTCCACAGAGACGCCTCTACTGCTGCTGTTGAAGCCCAGTGATGGGGGCAGGTTGGACAGCTGAGGAGGCTTATCAGGAGGGTTCAGGGCTAAACATGCCAACAGGCACCCAGAGAGGATCAGAGGGAGAGTCCACTGAGCAGCCATGAAGGGACAACAGCAAGAGAGGCAGCAGGAGAGAATAGGATGGGAGTTAGAGAGAAAGAGGGAGGGCCAGCGGCTCATGAATGTACACAACAACAGGCTGAGCTGAACACATGCAGCTGATAATGTGAACAGGAATCCCTGACCTTGCATTGACATCCATCCAACAGTACAGAGCTCAGCAGGTGGGACGTACTGAGAGTCATGRTCCCATCGTTACTGAGGGTTATCCACTGATTTACAAATATTTAACCAAGATTTAGTCCAGCCTCCACATGCTGATTCCTGACCTAAATCATCATCTAAATATGTATACTGTATACATACATACACAATACTGTGATGGGCTGATTTGTTGTACAGAAAGTTCATAATTTGTGTTTTTAAACTATTTATTTATCCTGCCATGTAATCTTATCAATCATCACATCAATTGTGTCAGACATTTATCCTCTCACAGGATGTAAAATGGTTGCGGGGGGAGATTTTTGCAAAATCGACTTTTTTACGTTTCAAACCATCTTATAAAGTCATTCTCTCATCAAAAACTTACTCAAAGTTTTGCTATGGACACCAAAATGTCCATGAGTTAGTTTTACAGATAGTTGGCTATACACTCTGTGCAAGATATTTGCCTAAAACCTTGGAATTAGCTTAATTGGAATTTGCTCATTTTGTCTAGCAAAATATCTCACAAACCATCAGATGGATGTTAATGAAACTTTCAGAAAATTATCACTGGCTCTACAGGTAATGTACCACTTCAAAGTCAAGTAAATTAAAGATGGCTGCCTGCCACAGCTTATGGCTTTAACTCAGTAATTTTAGAAATACTGAAATAAAAATGATATGCTTGTAGATGAGACTCATTTGTAACATGTACCCTGAGTGTGTGATCTATTGTGTAAGATTGTACAAAATGTTACTTTTGAGGTTTGACCAAAACTAACCACAACTTTTCAACATTACCTTACATAAAAGTTCTTGGTAGACATAAAGTTTGATTCACCGGCATGAAGGCAGTGGGTGATATGGTTATGGTTAGTGGGGATGGATATAAAAACCATATGAGCGGAGGCCTCCTAAGTGGGCCCATTGCTCTCCCCATAAAGACACTGGTCTTTATTCAAACCTTCTCGTCCCTCAGATGAAGGACACAAGGTTAGAAACACTCGTTCTGAGCTTCTCAGGATCCAAAAAGGGGTCCCCAAGAATTATTTTCCTTTGACTGCGCAGAGCCACGCAGTGGCCTAAGTAGTGCAAAAAGGTCTGTAATTCAATGCCACAGGCATCACACAGACCATTGCCATTTTGTGGTGTTTGAGCAGATTGTGCCCAGTTAGGACTCCGACCAGTGTACTTAGAGTTTTCCTTGTCAGGGAGATGAGAGCTTTCYCAAACCCTAGATTTGGGCAGTTAATCAGTTCCTATACCTGTCTACAGTCCATCAGCTCCCTCCAGCGGATTGAGTGTTGACGTCTAATCCAGGCCTGTAGGGCAGTCCTSCAGACTGTTGTTGAGATGCCTAGTGGGTGATATGCTTTCCACTGGGAATTGTAGACCTTTAATTACTTCCAGTGTTTAGGTTCTGGTTTGAAGTACACAATTACAGCTTTTATTAGTCCTATGACTCATGGACTTTGATGACCTGGCTCAATATTTTGTTTACTCCAGCCTCCTTTCAGCCAGAAATCAGATCTGCAGACTGAGAACACTTAAAGGTATGTTAGTCTGATGTTTCACTTTGCTGGAAAATTCTTGGATGTGCAATAAAACACCAACAGCAAAAGACAATAAAAATACAAAAAAATTCAAAAATTAAAAAAAAAATTTAAAATCACTATCAAAAGAACTGATACCTACTGTATATATCATTTTATGATATGCATACTTGCACAAGTTTGTTTAACATACTCTAAATAATGTTTCTTTACATTTTATAAACAACCAGCAGTTTTCCCAGTGCTTGTGGTCTTTTGCTACATCTTTGAAATAAAAATAAATTAAAACATTTTTTTCTCTTTTCAATTTATATTTTGATTACAAGCTATAAATTACCTCTGATTCACCTCCCTTAATCTCCAGATAGACAGTATATATAACAAAGCCTGATTAGACTGACATCTCTAATCCAGTAATTACCGGAAACCTCGGTGAATCCCTGTTTTCCATCTTCTTGCGCACACGAGCAAAGCGCCTTAAGCTTCTAAAGAGTGCTACTGCATGTTAATGGACCACTGTCTCCACCCTCCCCAACTGTGTGAAATCTAGTTGAGGATTTATGCTTTGCAGGTTACAAATCAATTACTTTTTTCTCCATCAGTTATATACTGTGATCAACAGGCAGCTGCCTAGAAACAGTCTGCATGGAAAAAAAAATCAACCCATGTAAAAACCAGTTTATGATGCAGTTGCCTAAGCTTTGCATCTCTTCTGCCACCCAGCTCATTCTGCACCCAACCTTGAATTGTCTTTTCACCAACCCCACCACCCTCATCCCAACGCCTGGCTCCAGGAGGTGCCACGGATGGCCTTTTCTGGGTGAAGGGACCTTGTTCCTGTAGTCTTCATTCAACAAGACCTCCATGCTTTTAGTCTGACCCCTCTTCTGAGGTCAGTGTGCCATGGCAGACCCTAGCAGGTGCTGACAACATAGCCCCCCAGGATTGTGAGGGTACTCAAACCCTTAAAAGTAGTGCATCTTCAGATCATGAAGCTCCTCCGCATTGGAAGGAGTCAGTTGAGTTGGTTTGGACATCTGGTTAGTATGATTTCTGCAGTTCCTCACGCTGGTGAGGTTTTTTATTTTCACTGAGTGAAAACCGGGGGAAGACCAAAAACTCACTGGAGGGATTTTTTTTTAGTCTGGGGTGGATGGATGGATGGATGGATGGATGTGGTTGGTCTGCTGCCTGGTTGTGTTCACACAAGTTTTTGTTTGAGAAGCTCATCTTCTCCATGTACTGTTTGAGACCTCAGTAGAGTTTGTTGAATTTTGTGGAGAATCTTTTCTCAGAATTTGAATTATAAACTTTATTCATTTCATAAAAACAAAATTCTATGTACAATAAAAAAGAAAACACAAATAAAATGAAATGAAAGGTGGCAGAGAGAAGAAAAAATTCTTATAATATCTGCCCCTTTTTTCCTCAAATATAGATTCAAACTATAATGATCTTCAGTTAACAAAACAAAACATTGAAACTTTCTAGAACAACAAACTGAATGACTACATATTAAACCATTTAATACTTTAACAGTCCAGTCTTTATCATTCTCTTAAATATACACATTGATGTGGCACTTTTAACATCATTTTCTAAATTATTCCACAGTCTCACTCCTTGAATTGAGGTGCATCGTTCTTTCAAGCATGTTCCAAATTTAGGTTTCATGAACATCTCTATTCCCTTAAGATTATAACAGCTTTCTCTCTTTGTAAAGTTTATCTGAATGTTTAAAGGTAATGCGTTTCGGTGTGCTTTATACGTAACTAACAAAATATTATAATCAATCAAATCATAGAATTTCATTAATTTCAGTTTACAAAATAATATATCAGATGGATAATGGTAATTTTTTTTCGAGTGATGACTCTTGTAGCCCTTTTCTGCTAAACAAAAGCAGGATTTGTAATAGTCTTACATGTTTTTCCCCATACCTCAACACAATAGACCAAGTGCGGAACAATTAATGTGTTGTATATACAGTCATATGAAAAAGTTTGGGCAGCCTTGTTAATTTTCCTGATTTACCTTTATAAATCATTGATTGTTTGGATTAAAAATATCAGTTAAATATATCATTGAGGGGACAAACACAGTGATATTTGAGAAGTGAAATGAAGTTTATATGATTTACAGAAAGTGTGCAATAATTGGTTAAACAAAATTAGGCAGGTGCATAAATTTGGGCACCAAAAAAACCTTAACTCAATATTTAGTAGATCCTCCTTTCACAGAAATAACAGCCTCAAAACACCTCCTACAGCTTCTAATGAGAGTCTGGATTGTGGCTGAAGGTATTTTAGACCATTCTTCTTTACAAAACATCTCTAGTTTATTCAGGTTTGATGGTTTCTGAACATGGACAGCTCTCTTTAAGTGACACCACAGATTTTCAATTATATTCAGGTCTGGGGACTGAGATGGCCATTCCAGAAMGTTSTACTTGTTYCTCTGCATGAAGGCCTTAGTAGATTTGAGCAGTGTTTAGGGTTGTTGTCTTGTTGGAAGATGCAGCCCCGGCTTCAGCAGCTTCARCTTTGTCACTGATTCCTGGACATTGGTCTCCAGAATCTGCTGATATTGRTTGGAATCCATGCGTCCCTCAACTTTAACAAGATTCCCAGTCCCTGTACTGGTCACACAGCCCCAAAGCATGATGGAACCACCACCAAATGTTACTGTAGGTAGCAGGTGTTTTTCTTGGAGTGCTGTGTTCTTTTTCCTCCATGCATAACAACCCTTGTTCTGCCCAAATAACTCTTTTAGTTTCATCAGTCCACAGCACCTTATTCCAAAATGAAGCTGGCTTGTCCAAATGTGCTTTAGCATACCTCAAGCAGCTCTGTTTGTGATGTGGGCGGAGAAAAGGCTTCCTCTGCATCACTCTCCCATACAGCATCTCTTTGTGTAAAGTGTGCTGAAAAGTTGAATGATGCACAGTGACTCCATCAGCAGCAAGATGATGTTGTAGGTCTTTGGTGCTGGTCTGTGGGTTRACTCTGACTGTTCTCAACATCTTTCACTTCTGTTTATTCCAGATTTTTCTTTGTTTGCCACTTGGAGCCTACACTTGAACTGTGCCTGTGGCCCTCCATTTTCTCACAATGTTTCTCACAGTGGAGACTGAAAGCTGAAATCTCTGAGATAGCTTTCTGTATCCTTCCTCTAAACCATGACGGTGAACAATCTTTGTTTTCAGCTCATTTGAAAGTTGTTTTGAGACTCCCATGCTGYRACTCCTCAGAGAAGATGCAAAGAGGAGAAAAACCTTCAATTGCCCCCCTTAAATACCCTTTCTTAAAATTGGAGTCACCTGTGTATGGAGGTCAAGGGTCACTGAACTTAACAAACCAAATTTGAGTCCCAATAATCAGTTCTAAAGGTTTTGAAATCAATAAAATGACAACAGTGCCCAAATTTATGCACCTGCCTAGTTTTGTTTAACCAATTATTGCACACTTTCTGTAAATCAAATCAACTTTATTTCACTTCTCAAATGTCACTGTGTTCATCCCCTATACAGTATGATATATTTAACTGATATTTTTAATCCAAACAATCAATTATTTATAAAGGTAAATCAGGAAAATTAACAAGGGTGCCCAAACTTTTTCAAATGACTGTATAAACAGAGCTTTATCAATAAACAGTTCCCTTACATTGTAAAGCAATACAATAGATTTTGCTAGTTTTATTCTTAGATAATTTATATGCGGTTCCCATGTCAGGGTATATATGCAGTACGAGTCACATGATTAGACTTGTCGGCACACTAGCAGAAAATATAAAGTGCCCAAATAGAGACCTATGTGTGTCTAATTACAGAAAATACATGTCTGTGTGACCGTGTATCTGTGTGAACCTGGAAATGTCATAGTGTGGTTTTTGGGGTGTTTGTGTTTTTGTTAGTTTAGTTAGGTTTGTTTGGTTCTGTTATCCTTCTGTTTGACTCAGGTGTGTCCCCGTTACTCTGATTATGTCCAGGTGTTTTCCACGTCCCCCAATCAATCCTCTATGTATTTAAGTTCTGCTCTGTGTCTGTTTGTTTGTCCTGTCCTGTCCTGTCYGTATCTTTCCAAGTATTTGTAAACCACAAGTCTTGCTGTAACCTGAGTTTTTGATGTCCTTTACCTGCCTTGCAGAAGTTTTTGAGTTTTTTTCCTGTCCAGTGAAGCCAGTCTATGTTAATAAACCTTTCCTATTTTTCTGAGCACCTCGTCYCCTGCCTCATGAGTCATACCAGCCTGAGTTTCTCTCCTGTGAGAGAAGGCGTTTCTGACAGGAAACTGCTGAACTTAATTGCCCATGGGGATAAATAAAGCTGTCTGAATCTGAAAACACCTACTTCTACACTACACTGTTCAGATTATATTTATTAGTAAAATTTGTATCATTACACACAGACAACACAGACCTTACCTTCAACACCTACACTTCATAAATAGATTCATGAAACTGGTTGATGGAACAATATTTTAGGTTATTGTAAGTTGTCTGGTCAGAGATGTGTTCAAAACTTTCATTACATACAGTATATTAAAGCATTTGTTTGCTGCAGAGTTAAAAGCTGAGATTGTTTTATGTTGAAAAATGACAGAAAATATAAATTATTGCTATTTCTGTCAAAATATTATGCTTAATTTTGTGAGATTAGATCCTTCTTGGATGTGCATTTGTTAGCAATTAGAATATGTGTTGTGAGTGACTCTCAGCTACTAAAGCTCATTTTACCTCAATACCTCAATCTCTGTAAAAGTCACAGAGTTATGCTCATCTTTGTGTTACCTAAAGTTGATAGGCTGGGACAGCCATCTAAATTGGGCTGAGCCCAAAACTTAATCAGATGTAGATCTGCATTCATTGATTACTKTCTGAGCGTTTCACTGAAATGTGTCCAGTGAATCATCAGGTATTTTGCTAACAGACACAARGAGTTGACTTAAATAGGTTTTATGCAAAGATGCTGTGTAATGTGCTGACAGGTTAAGCTACTACCACACAACATTTCTGTTTCAGAATCTGTGAAATCTGCTGAATTATAGATATTTTGTGATTTTTATGCACAAATAGCTGTGGCGGCCATCTTGGATTGGGTTGACTTCAAAAGTTGTGATGTGAACTCAATGAGTACTTTCTGAAAGTGTCATTAAAATCCGTCCTCTGGTGTATGAGATGTTTTGTTAACAGAGTTAATTCCACTAATAAGTTGGGTATCAGTCTCAGTTACTAGTAGAACTAATAGTAGCTAAATATCTGCCATTTTTGCTTTTGCTAASATTGCTTTGCTGTGGCGGCCATCTTGAATTGGGTTGACTCCATCAGTTGTAGATGCGAACTCAACTTCTTAAAGTTTTTTTCAGAATCTGTCCAATGGTTCATTAGATACTTTGCAAACAGAGTTAGCAAGATATGATAATAAAACATTATTGCTCTGTCTTCACCTTCACCCAGGCAATAGTAATCAAGTTTTAACCTCGGGTCTCTGTGGTGTTTCAATTAAGTTTGTTGTAGTTACAATTCAAATAGCTAAAAAGAGGGATACAAAAAACATCATGGGTACATCTTAAAATAAAGCAACAGCAAGAAATTTAACAGTAGACTGTAAAAACTTTAATTTAATATGTTTTACACACTTTCAATGTCAGTAAAATACAATTAAATGCATGTCAGGTAAAAATACCTGATAGTGTAGTACTAGAATTGAACACCAGGTGGCGCATGGACTCAGCTCTGATTGAGGCATTTTTCATTTAGGAAGTAAAGCAGGTATTGAATTAAAAAATAAAAACTGATATAGCACATGGTTTTATTACCACACAGATGTTTTTATATGTAAGTTTAGATTTAAGGTACAAAGGTGAAAATTTCAAACTGAAATGTGAGTGTTACTTTGGCAGGGCGTCTCCTGGCAAGCGAGGCTCGTCTAACTCTGAAATCCTCAACACTGGGGAGCTGAAGTTGGACGAGCAGGGAACCGATTGCTGGGTGTTCAGATAACTAATCTTCTCACTGCTGTCTGCCCTTGAATCTTCTGCCAAGCTGCTCTCCAGCGAGTACAACCCCTTTGACTGGCAGTCGGGCTGCGGTGGCGGCACCAGGCCGTGTAGCAGACTGTTTTCCAGGTGGGAGTTGCACCGAGCCAAGTTATCAGTCAGATGCTGCATGTAAACCTCCTCCACCTGCTTCTCTAGCAGCCCGTTCAGTGCGGAGTTGGACATGGGCTCCAAGCCTGATCCAGGCAGATCCAAGCTGATGTTCACACTGCCCCCCATCACCAGATAACCCTGGTCCGGGATGGATGAAACTGAACCTTCTTCTTGCCTGGCTTCAGGTTGAGGATCCAGCTCAGAGACAGGAGGCTGAAACTCCTCCAGGTTTACAGTGGCTCTCAGCAGGTTGTGTGAGATGCGGCCCGAATCAGCCACCTGCAGGTCGGGATAATGTTCCAGGAGGCTGCAGTCTTCGATACAAACAGGGTGGAGGGCAGTTACAGGTGAATACCTGGGAATTAGAAGAGCTGGAAGCTGAGGCACTACTCTCAGTCCCTGGTCATGGCTGAGGCTGAGCACTTCCTCTTTAGGCCCTGAATAATAAAAAAAATACATGGCAATATTAGAGTAATAGTTAGTCTGCTTGAATACAAACTCTTTCCATTTTTTTCCATATTATCTAAAGTGCCACGAGCCCATTCAGACAGTGTACGGATCAAAGTGATAACTGGTCTAAAGCTTGGTTTAATTTGTATTGCATTGTATTGTATTGTATTGTATTGTATTGCAGAGGTTCCCAAACTTTTTGTCTTCTGACCCACAAAATGTTCATGGCAAAAACTTGTGACCCCAAATATTACTGGTCTGAGTACACAAACTCCATTAATAACCCTAAAAACACAGGTTTTTTGACTATCTAAACAGCTTGTACACACATATAAATACTTATTTTTACTTATTTTGTGTTTTTGTAATAATTATAGGAAAAATATTA